TTGTGTCAATGGCTCACATGCAAGACCTGAGCAATGTGGGCGTCACTTTTGGATAAATTTGACGTTTTGGATGCATAGACACTGTTTGTTTTGTAATCAAATGAAGTTCGAGCTACTTTGTTGTCTGACTCGACAGTGGTGGAAGGTCTCATTTGATTAGTTTTGGAGCTCCATACGTAATGACAAAGTTTGTTTCAGTAACAGTAGTTGCTTGGGTGGCATTGACAATGTTTAAAGTGAGTAAATCATATTCAATAATCAGCATCCTGTCATGTCCAATTCTCGCCATTTTCCTCCTGTGACCTCTCTTAGGTAATTTTAGCATTTTGGGCACTTTTGGTGAAGCTTATATTGCGAATGATTGATATTTGAAATGACTTCAGGCATGATTGAGTCGTTCTCACCTCGATTTAAGCGGCACTTCAGCCTTTTTCCCTCATTTGATTGTGTTTGATCTCAGTTAAAGTGAAATATATATGGAGGTCAACATTCATGGAACTAGCCAAGAGTTTGGGACTATTTTTCTCACTTATTTGGGTTCTATGGATAATGATGATATCTTCTAATAGTTCATCAAATGGTGTATTTTTTACGAGAAATTCATTAAGGTTCATATTACTAGGATTTTACATTTTATTTTTTGCCGGTGTATTTAGAATGCGAGAAATTTGACTTAGTACAACAATGTTAGACTTGATTGGTTTCCTATTTTTAATATCATCACATATTAATTTGCTTATTTAGCAACTCATTTAATTTTCGTTATTATGTAGTTTAGATTTTCGTTATTATGGATAATGATGATATCTCACTTATGTTCTCTAATAATTAGCACCGCTTTGAGTTATATGCTGATAAAACCTACAACACTAATAAGAAATTTGTGTAGGATTTAACTTTAGATTTTTCTAATATAATCAATATGATGTGTGGTATTATTCCATGTAATGGACAATTTAGGATTTACATATCTCAATTCACCATTTAATTCAGTAACTTGTTTTCTTTAAATATAATACACTGCTAGAATTAAAACCGACTGACTGTGAAACAATCAAAATAATCTGAGAATTTCAATAAAAAATTAGACGCATATAAAATCAATGAGCAAAGTGAATTGATTTTAACAATTTTGGATTTTGAATGTTTTATTTTCTGATCAAAAGCAAAAGGACTGACAAAATTAGTAAAAAATTATGTAGATGAATAAGAAAAATCAAGCCTCAAGCTACTACAAGTACATGACTTTCTCTAACTTTGCTTGTCGCACTTGCACAACACTTGAAGTAATGACCCATTTAATTTGTACTTACAAGATTGGAATTGTAAAAGAGAAATTTTATTTAAGCCAAAGTTCTCAATTACATGCCTCATAATTACTACTTACAAACTTCTTATAACCTTGATCAGTTGATATGATTTGCACAAAGCAAATTTAATTTAAGATAACATTTAACTCCAATTCTATTTCGAATCTCATAGGCTTCTTATCCATTATTAGTCGAACATATGAAATCAATCATGTAACTTCTTTAGTCTTCATTAACATCCTACTCATTCTCCATTAAATATGATCTTATTGAAGAAATGCCTTTTTTCTTTTTTCTTTTTTTGGGTTTTTTTTTTTTTTTTTTTTTTTTGAGAATGCGTTAGAAGTAGAAGATGATTTGTAGTTATAATATGAATATATATTTTATCTTATTGATTTAAATATGCACTTAAATCAGATCATATTTATTCAATGCATGATCAAAAGTCAGAATAAGAGTTTGAATGAAATTTGAGCATGAGATCATATGTAAATTTATTTTCTAATACACTATTGAACATATGCCTTAAAATGTAAAATTGAACCACTTATATCTATTATAGTGACGAACCAATTGAATGATTTGAAGGTGCAACTCTTGATGAGTTATCTATGGATCTTTGGTCCTGTAATGAATGTTCAGACTTAGTTGATTTTATTTTTGGTTCTTGGTTTCCTGAATAACTAATTCATAAAAAAATCTTATGAAATTGAGCTGCAACAATATTTGAAAAAATGCTAATGAAGAATCTGTTTTAAGAATCGTGACAGTTAATACTCCATCTATCAATTCAATTTAAAAGATTAGTGTTTTATCATGACTCATATTCAATTCATGTCGTTTTTCTTCTTTTTTATTTTGAGTTTTCTTCATCATTTCTTTCTCTAATAATTAGTTATAGTATCTTTATTAAAATCTCTGATGTCAAAATTCCTTCTATCTATTCCATCTATTTATTTTTTATTGTCCTCACTATACTAAGGCCCATTATGCTCACTACTCTCTCCTGTTTTTTATTCTTTCTTTATTGTTGTTATAGTTCTGTCTTCCCACTAAGTGTTGATATATTGTTGATTCTATGTTACAATTCTGAGCATTGCTTTTGATATTAATTTGCTAGATGTCACCTTCTATTTTCGTTATTTCACATGTTAGCTTGCATCACCTTTTCACCACCTTGCTTCATGCTATGGGCACTGTATAGCTATTTTTTATTATTTTTTTCCAAGTTTTTTATATTCAAATTTAATCCAATCATTGGATTTTATAAAAAAAGAACTGGAATTCATTTTAGATGTATTGAAACTTAAGCTTGTGTGTTGATCTTGTCAAGTTTTGTTTAATTTTTTATTGTGGTTTATTTCAAGGCTATGAATAGAATCGTTCTGATGTGCAAAAATTGATTGAATGGTGAATATTGAAATTCAATTTTGATTTTTCTCTTTTTTGTATGTGCTTTTTGGATATTTGTCCTTCAAATGCTTCACAGTTGTGGACGACTATTTTTAAGGGAAATTTCTTTGTACTGGCGTGAGATTTGATTCTTTCCTTTGGGATGATTTTTATCCTTGTTTTAAATTAATTTACAGATGTTGAGATTTTGTCAAGTAAGATATATGTCAAATTTTCTATTTGAATTGAAGTTGAATGGTTATTGATATTATTCAGCATTGTTTTTTGTGGAAGTTTAGATTTTAGGCTATTATTAAATTATCTTTTAAAATGTTTAAAGCGTGTTTGTTTTCCTTATATTAAAGTGACAAGGATCATGTTACATTTGCGTATTATGAATTTTTTATATTTTTATATTATATTTCATCAAAGGTTGCATTGGAAGCCCATTCCTTACCCACCGTAGATCAATCTCTTAAGATCACTCTATTATTTTATTAATTTCATTACTTGTCTTATTTAGCGTCAATCATTTATGTAATTTGCATATTTGCTTGATTTATATGAAGATATTTTAAGAAATTGGATGTTAATTAAAACAGTGATAAGTTAATGGTTGAAGTGAACACACAGTTTTGGGAGTCTAAATCAGGTGATAAGATCGCATTTGAATCTAGAAAGGTTATCTATATGAATCCTTCATAATCTAAATGGGAGAAAGATAGGAATCATTTAAATTCATGCTGCACATTGGGACAAATGCCTATACATATAGAAATATCAAGAAATTATGGTTTAATTTGAGTCTTTTATGAACCTGCAATCAATATATTTGGTTTTTTTTCTCTCTTCATCTTCTCCTTGTTGATTTGCTCCCAACATGATGCTAGATAGATCTATATTTCTTGAACTTAAAGGTATATTGTATGATGAAACTGGATTGAATTGTATTTGATAATTCTTTGGTTTCATTTCAGGAACAAACATTGTTGTTATGATCTTAGTTATAAATATTGAATGTTAAATTCCTTGGAGCCAAAAATAAATTGGATGGAAATATTCCAAGTTTGAAGCGTCAAGTACATAAATGATCTTAGTGAGGTTAGTTTAGTTTTCATTATTTGACAGTTGTTTTATTTGGTAGCTTTTAGTTTTAGCTTATTTGAAATATGTTTTTGATGAAGTGATATTTGTGAATCAGTATATTCATTTCTGCATTTTTGGGGTTGATTCTTTCTCTATGTTGGCCTAGTTCAATCTCTATGTTGGTTTGATTTGCTAGTTTTTACTATGGCTATTCAGTCGTGGTATTGTTCCTTTTTGCTCGGTGGAACATTTCTTTTCTAGGGACATTTATATACGCAACACCCAATTCCTATGTATTTACATATCCAACACCTAAATTTTATTTTTTACATCTATACCTCCCAAATTTTTCATTGCACATAAAAAATACCTGTATTTTAATTTTTCAAATGTGAAGTACACCTTTTCGTGCATAGTTAAAGTGATGTGTAAAAATTAAATTTTAGGTGTAAGATATGCAAATACATAAGAATTAAGTGCTGTTTATGTAAATCCTTATTTCGGTCTTTATTCATGAAAGTAGTTGGATCATTGTTTCTTTTCCTACTTCTTTCCTGTTTTGACTTAGATATCATATTCTTTTGATACGAGAAATCTTGTTCAATTATATTGCCCATTCTGTGAATATTGTCTATTTGCCTAAAGTTATTATATTACTGGATTGAGGGATCCTTTTGTGCCTTTATTCCGGAATTTTTGTGAGATTTATATCGAGAAAGAAAGAGTACTGACCTTGAGTTGTTAGATTCATGAATATAAAATTAAGGCATATGTTAGGGACTTTCGGCTTAGTAAAAAATTTCAAATTCTCTTTTAATCTTGTACGTGTCTTTGGTTGGTTGTTGGATTCATTCAGATGATGTTGAAGTTTAATAATCGAATTTCAAGGAAAGTTACCTCTTTGCACCGGCAGCAGGCTTGGATTTCTCTACTTGCTGATTTTTTTCCACCATCTTTTCTTCGATTTAGTTTCATATTGGTTTTACTTGCTGGAATTATTTGTCAAGTTGGCTTATAACTAGCTTTCAAGTCCTCCGCTGATTTCCTTTGATTTAATTAAACCGTAAAGCATTATTTACCTGAATTTATCATATTCCTAATTTAAATTAAAATATTGTGAGCCTTTGTTCTAATTGACTGCCTTTGGAATTCTGAATTTCAAGTCAAATTTGTGTAACTTTCATTCATCATATCTCTACTTATATTAGGAACCCTGCCGTGTCTCAAAATCTCCTGCAGATCCGTGGAAAATAAACCAATATCTATTTATATATGTAAAACGAAGAAAATTCACCAATGCTAAGGTAAACATGGTAATATGCCCTTAGTCTCTCACACAACTATATCCTGTACCTCTTACTCCTATTACATAGACGCCATGAAAAGAAACATTCTACTTTTGATTTCTTTCCTTTCACATGATGGAGCAGGCATTTGGGTTATCATCACTGAATAAATTGGTGAACCGTTCCTCCTCTTTTACCGCAAGGCCTGTAGCTGTGATAGCCTCGACATTCCTCACATACCCAGCCGGAGCCTTCTTGTCATAGGTCCCACTTACATATGGGTGCATCACCACGTTATAAGGAACGTAAGGCCATATCTCTGCTCTCTTCCCTGTGGCCTGAACCCTCTTCAGCACCCTGTTTGGCTCAACATAACCAGCCACTGTAACCTTATTTTGCTTCCTGTTTATCTCCACTGACTGAACTCCTGCAGCAATAAGACATCTCTGCGTTAGGAAAGATAAGAGAGAGAGAGAGGAGAAAGAGTGAGAAAGAGAGATGCCTTTCATGTAGGAGAGGCATTTCTTCACTTTGTATTCACAGCCATCACAGTCCATCCTCACTTTGAGCTCTACTGTCTGGAATGACTTCCTCTTCCTGTGGCTGTAGCCACATGGAAGAAGGCTTGATAGGTATCCCATGGCTGCAGAAAGGCTGAAAAAGTCTTCAATAACTAAGGAAACAAGTTGATATTATTTTTGGAAATAGAAAAAGGCTAAGCTTTCAGGTTAAGTTAGCGTGCTAATTACCTTTGAAAAAGATGCCTTTTGAGCTTTTGATGGAGAAAAGAAGATCCAAGTATCTGTTAGGGATGACTATAAATTGTGAGGCGGAGAGGATGAAGAAGTTTCCGTCAGAACAGCTTAATCTTCCTTTGTTCTCTCTCTTTTCCTCTCTCAATGCAAGCCTGCAGACTTTGCTTGGCCTATACTCCCTTTATATAGCCTTTCCTAAAGCACAAAGCCAGCACTAATGGTTTTTTAAAGTTCCAACTTTCAAAAAGTGGGCGAGAGAGCATAGACAGAAGATTATAGGTTTAGGGACATTTATATGCGTATACCACCCAATTCTTATGTATTTACATATCTAGTCTCTAAATTTTCTTTTATATTTATAAAAAAAAAAATTAATACATGATTCGCCATTCCTGATTCTGCTGCTTAGATATGCTTAAAAATAAGATGTGGTGCTTAGAAATTGGATACTCACCTGAATCTAAGATAAGAATAAAATAAATGTCTATTTTTAGGGTTGAATTATCCTATTTTTAATATGTGGAAGATGAGGAGCGGTGTTAGTAATTAATTTGTTTATTTAAGAAAGATATCATGTCAAATCATCTGAAACCAATTTAAATATAGATAGCTTTTTTTTTTTCTAGGAAAGTTGAGCTGTAGTGACAATTGAGTTAGAAATTATAGTTGGGTTTACAAATTCCCCCATAGATCTTAAACAAAATATGGCTAACTTGAGCTCAAAAATGAAAAAAAGTTGTATTCATTGAAGAAACTTTGTTTACATAAACTTTAATTTTATTTCCTCAGAATGGTTCATCTTCAAGGTTAATTAATTACGTAGTAAGCTTGATTTATTTCCTGGAAAAAGACAACTTATTGTGTGCGTGGGTAGAGAACCCATATGCCTTCGGTACTGTGATGGAGACATCACTCCTCTAAAAGCAGTGGGTCTTATATGGTCCGGGAACATGGAACCTGTAGCCTGGTTTCATGAATGAAAACCTGCCACGTCATCTTTTAATTTTGTGAGATTTCATAAGAAATTCTTTATAAAGATTCTTATGATAAACTCATGGTCGGGAAGAGTTCTAATCAGTGTAAAATGAATGATGATAAGAAATTTCTACCAGAGTCTCCTGATAGGATTCCTGTCTTGGATAATGATGAGTAATTTGCCTTTGATCGGATTGTTATATATATATATATATTGTTATGAATGCAATGTGCAAGGTTTTATTTTTGCTTCAAAGCGCAAAATACAGAGGAAATCAACACTTTTATCAACACTAATAGATTATATAAAACTATACATTTAATGTATAAATACATGTAATAACAATTATAAAATATAAAGCACAACTTAAAAGTTGATATAAAAATAGAAAAAAAAAGTGTTACAATATAAAACTTGATGGTAAATATTGAGGGTAAACTAAATTTTGAATAATTTTTAATAGTTTGTTGTAATAATTAAAATTATAAAAATTACAAAATAAAAACATGCAAATTAATTTAAGCACTTCTAAATGTGCCTCGGCGAAGCAAATTCTATGTCGCACTTTTTGCTTTATTTTGCTTGTGAGGGGGATATATATATATATATATATATATATATATATATATATTTTATATATTATATTTTTTTTATAGAGTGGGGGGG